ATAGAACATCATTTCCCTGCACATCCTGTATGAACATGTGATGAATTAAAACTCTTGAAAAAAAGCCAAATATTCACATTTACAGCTTCTCTAATGTGAACATTTGCAGTTTTTTTCTAGTTTACTCGTCTATTTTACAGACTAACGGACTGATCTGATCATTGAAGACGTCGTCATCAAACTAACACCAGCTCTCGTTGTGCTTCCTTGTGTTTCTGTGACTTCAGTACTTTCCAGGTCGTCCTGTGGTCGTGAACTTGCTGAAGTCTGTGAACTCGTGGCTGCAGAGCCAGAGGGCAGATCAGATCTCCTACGACGCGTTCAAGGAGGTTCTGGAAAACTCAGCGCAGGTGAGCCGAGACGGACGACTGTCGGATAAAACTGTGCATCCGTATTGCAAACTTTTTTTGTACATGTGTCACTTACATGCAGCCTTCAGGAAATGAAAATGAACTGGGGAGAAAATAGAGATTTAAAAGCCAAAGTGAGCAAAAAGCTAAAGGAAGGGATGCAGGATCAGTGAGATGAGCAGCAGCTGCAGGAGGACAGAGGGCAGGTGGTCTGATGGAGGAGCAGCTGCAAGGTCACCTGTCAGTCCAGACGCCTAATCAGTCCAAACCCACCTCCACAGCGAGGCTGGTTCTGTCAGGGAAACGTCAGGATGTCACCAAGGAGACCTTCCGTCAAAGCCGAGATAAAAATAATAATATATGTGTTTCTAAAGACAAACACGGAGGCCGTCCCGTGGCCTTGTCCGGCTGCCAGCACATACAGACCAGGATCTACGTGCTGTTGTCTTTGGAATGAAGCCTGCATGCCTCCAGTGTGCAGCGCCTCGCAAATTGAAAGAGTCACTTACTTACATCATTAGCTTTTAGCAGGCAAATCAATGGATCAATGAATCAATGGGAAGGTATGAATAGAGTCCGCCTCGGAGGAAATGGACACACACACACACACACACACACACACACACACACACACACACACACACACACACAGATCTTTACTATTGACATGTGAGTAACCCTGTCAATCACAGCGCAGCTCAGCGAGTCCAACGACTTTATGTCAGAGGAAATATGTTGTCGGGTTCGACTGCGGCTCGCCGGCGCAGGTCTGAGCGGCTCCTGTTCATTAGCGGAGGGCCGAGCCATTAACCTGAGATTGACTTCTCATTGATCAAGAAAACTACGTGGAGCTGCTTTCATTAAGTTGAACAGGTTGGGAGAAGCAGCAGCAGAGAGAGTTTTTTTTTTAAAGAGGGTTTTTGGGATTTTCTGAAGCAGAAGTCTGGAGATGTTTTTTTTTTTCTTATTCTGAAGAATCCAAAAGCAAATATCCAAATATTGAGACACTGAAGCTTATAGCAAATGTAACCTCCGATGTCCAGGCAGTTTTTTACTCCACATAATCACTTTAGGCTCATTTATTTTACTCTATGGAAACAGCACAACCACAGCTGGAAGAAGAAGGTGCTGCAAGAAACTGTTATAATGACGTTAAACATATAAAAATAAAAATACAAAAAAATCAAGTCAAGTCTGAACATATGGTATTAATACTGGAAAGATAAATAGTGGCTTTACATGCTGTAGATATTTTACATTTATGTTTGCCTCCTATTTGATATGCGTAAACACTGCCTGCAGTTCAGCTATAAAGTCCCTAAACTTCTGTCATGTTGGTCGCAGAGTCATTATTAGCTTTTGTGATGAAAAGTACATTATTTTATTTTTATTTCTAAAGAATCTGGTGAAACTAAATGCGTTTTTAAATGAGACCTGCTTCCTGACCAAACAGCGTGTCACATAAGTAGTTCAAGGACCGTGAAAAAGATCAAGATCCAACAGTTCTGCTTATTTCTACGTTTTGTGGCTCTGACATACGGCGATTTCTTTTAAAGACAAAAACATGCTTTTTAAACCTGACAGTGGGCTTTGAGGTTCAGAAGATTAAACAGGATTAAACAATGATTTTGTTATGAATTGCTGATTTGTTGGTTAGAAGTCACCAAAAAACAAAACATGGGGAAGAGTTTGAAGTTAAAAAAATGTAACTTTAATGAAATGAACAAAATAAAAAACAAATTGGAGATAAAAATCTCATTTATGTTGGGTTTTAAGAAGAAGAAATGGAAAACGCTTTCACTTTATTATTCCGGGTCATAATCCTTTCAAAAAATGACTCAGAATTGAGAAAGAAAGCAAGATCATCTTTGCAAGAAGTAAAAGTTTTTTCCTTTAGTAGACCACTAATAGTCCACTACAGTAAATGGAGATGCTGCTGCCCAGTCATCAGCATCTTGTCCATTGACTTCCAGCTAACAGTAGCCCAGGAGGCACTTCTGTCCAGGAATGGTGGAGCAGTGTTGACTCAGCCTCCAAATTCCCCACATCTCCATCTAACTGAGCATCTGTGGGATGAACTGGAACGAGCCCGATCCACAGAGTCCCCACCCCAATACCCTCAGCAGCACCCAAAGAATCTACCCCCTACGTCCCGGTGCCAAGACACCAGAGGACACCTCTAGAGGCCCAGTGGAGTTGTTCTGGTAGCAAGAGGAGGACGATGGTTTCATGGTTAGAAGTAGAGATGTTGGAGCCAAACATGGGAGTTTTTAGCTGATCGGTACCAGCATAAAGCTGCACCTCAGTCTTTGTTTGCATCTGTCGTCATGCAGAATCACACCTTAGATACGCTGTAGAAACACTGTCTTGGTTTATTCCAGGTTAGTGCGGCCTGAGGTTTGTAAGCCTCGCTGAAGTCTTTATCACAGTGCTCCTTTACAGGCTAAACTCCCACAATGCTCTCTGTTTCCCAGCATGGGAGTGGCCACCTTCCTGGGTTGTATTAAACAGCCATTTTAACCAGGTAGTCCAGGTGATCTACAAAACTAGAAGAGTGTTTTATTTTAGAAAATACCATCTGGTTTTGGCAGATGCTACATATGAAATGACTCGGACTTGATTGGGACTTTGCTAGTTAGCTGTTAATTAACATCCAGTTTCAAAATGTGTTGATTTAAGCACAACTGTAGCCTAAAGGGTGATTAGTTTGAGTCTCTTTGACAGAGCTGTGTGGGGAGTAGAGGGACCTACAGGACTAGAACAGACTTGTGAATAAACTGCTGTTCAGTGATGTGTCAGGATCTGGCTCAACACTCAGTACTTTGGTGTTTTTGTGGGATTCTTGATGACAGTAACAAGACATAGAACCTACCCGGCCTCACGTCGATGATTTCTGTTTGTCTGTTTTCTTTCAGACTCCAAACGCCGCTCTGCCTGACGGGGTGAGGTGGGTGGGCTGTCAGGGCTCTCAGCCCCACTTCAGACGGTATCCATGCGGGGTGTGGACGCTCTTCCACGTCCTCACCGTCCAGGCCAACAGCACCGGAGGCTCAGGTACACACTGTTTGTGTTGCTGTGGGTGTGAAAGGCCACTCAGAGTTCACGGAGGTAAACCGAGGAGGAGGCTTTGTGCACAAATTAGCTCAGGAATGTTTCTCACACTTGACCCGATTTAACGGAGAAAAGACGGAAACAGAAGCAGATATCTACTGAAATTTTTGTTGCTGTTTATCAGAATTTCTCTTCTGTGTTTTGTCACTCGGTCACAGTTAAAGTTGAGCCTAATTGTGACTGTGTGAAAAGGGATTATGTTAGATTAGTGGAATGTGAGTGGTTAATAAAACGGGCAGATGACCAGAGGCTCCGCTAATCTCCCCTCGACACACACACATAGACGTGCACACAGAGGTTAATCCCCAGGTTTACGGACCGTCATGTGACCTGCAGATGGACCGGCCAAAAGGGGCGTCCATCTGGACCCCCACAGACCACCAGCTTAGCACGAACGCTCCGGTTTGGACTGTAAAACAAAACACAGCTTACTCACATCCACACTCTGCACACAGGAGGTGGAAGGTGTGAGTACAGTACGCTGCAGGTCCACTGATGTTTAAATGCCATAAACGCCCTCCCTCTTCCGGTTCATCTAAAGGCGCTGCTAAGCCGAGAACAAAAGCAAACAGCTCACGGAAAATATGTTTGCGGACTGTTGAGGTCCTGAGACAACAGCCTGGCCGCCATTCACACAGAGCGTTAACGGCGTTTAATCTCCAGATTGGGTTATCCCATTCTCATAGATTATTCATCCCAATATGGGGTTAACCCAGCTCTCTGCAGGCCCACACTACCGTGGGAATCCGTGGACACTCGCTGCCATTAGCGAGCTTTCCAGCAGGTTTAATGCACCGTGATGACGAGCTTTACGGGGGCAGGTGATGATGATGTTTGCTGGTGTTGTGTTTAGATGAAAGACGTGGAGGGTTTTAGGTCCACGGTCTACAATCAGCACAAAAAAACAAAGTTTGTGGAGCCGCCTTCATGAAGGTGAACAGGTTGGACGATGCAGCAGAGACGAGTTTTTGGAGGATTTGGGGAATTTTGTGAAGAATCAGAATCAACTTTATTGGCCAAGTTTTTACACACAAACGAGGAATTTGGCTTTGGTTAATCTTAACTGTCTGTATGAGAAATAAAAGAAATAAACTGGAACAATAAAAATAAATCTGGGGATATTTTCTTGTTCCTAAGAAATCAACAACAACAACATGTTTGTGTTAATATTCTCCAAATTCTCTGCTTTATGTGCTTTTCAGAGCCTCCAAGTGCATTTCTTTCTTCTAAAAAGGGTCAAAACATATTGTTTCCTTTTTAATATTACATCCCTTAAATTGAAGGCTTTAGCAAATGTTACTTAACCCTCCAAAGTCTAGCAGCTTTAGGTGTTTTTTGCTCCTATTGCATTTTTTTTATTCAGTGAGGGCTCATTTTAATTGCCTTTATAGAAACAATGACTAGAAGTAGAGAGAAATGTCTTTTGTGCAGCATGACACAACTGAAGTATTTCTTTTAGTTCGTATTTTACAAAAAATAAAAGCTGGTATCAACATGTACAACATTCGTTCAGATGCCTACAGATAAAAGACAAATGGTGGCGCTACATAAATGCTTTACGACTTGTGTTTCTGATTGGCTTGTAGACGTCCATCCTCCGATCTGTTCTGTGTAAACACTGCCTACAGTTCAGCCAATGAAGTCCCTGATTTCTTGTCATGTGACCGTCGGTTGCAGCTGAGCCACTAATAGCTTCTCTGTTGCAACAAAAAGTGCAGAATTTTTTGTTTTTTAAAGAATCTGGTGAAAATAAAACCTTTATTTATGGTGAATTTTCAAATGAGACGTAAAATAAAGTGATCTCAGGTCTCAGGAAGCAGTTTGTAGTTATTATTTGTGCTGCTACAAACACTTCACATTCCTTATTTTTGGTCAGATTTTCCGCCGCTCGTCCCTCATATGACCTGATGTCGTTCCCCCGCAGATCCCCTGGAGGTCCTGAGCGCCATGAGAAGCTACGTCCGCAACTTCTTCGGCTGCAGGCAGTGCGCCGAGCACTTTGAGAACATGGCGATGGAGAGTCTGAATGAGGTGAACTCGCTGTCGTCGGCTGTCCTGTGGCTGTGGTCCAGACACAACCGGGTCAACAACAGGCTGGCAGGTAGGAGGAGGCGGCACCAGAGTAACTTTAGAGCAAACTCCCTGATTCTTCTTCAAATACAGTCATGGTGCAGCGATTCTAGAGAACTCTCTTTAAAATTAAGGCCAACTTTTTTCATATCTGCGAGGGAATGTTTGCAGAAATCTACATGCAGGACAGAATGTGTGACTGTCTGACCATCTACACTGCAAACAACTGACATGATGCTTAAAACAAATGCATGTTATGAGGAGATCCACACCTTTTCTAATTCATCATTAGTAGAGCTGTAACTGAAGTCATGGTTGCAGGACTTTGGAGGTGCTTTGATTTGTGGAGCACAAATACAGTAGGAACTTCCAGATCATCCAGTGGCAGTTCTTGACCCTCCCAGCTCCAGAAACACCTCATCATGATTGATCCAAGCCCAATTTCCTAACAAGCTGGGGGAAAAAATAGAAGTATTTCATGGTGCTGTAATCTATTTGTGACAGAAAGCATGACTCGTCTCCTACAGAGGATGTTTATGCGTTATTACAAAGTAAGCCCACCTCAGTGTCCTAATCCATCATCACGCTCTGTCACTCCCACTTTTCCCGTCACATGCTTCCCTCTTTCCGCTCTTCTCTCCTCCGTCCATCCACACCGATGGGATCTGAAGTATTGCCCTCCTCAGTTTTGGGGGGTCGCTCCGGCTTCCTTCCTCTCGTGGTCACTTAGTCCTCGTAATACGACTAAAAGAGGGTGAGGGGAGGAAGGACGGATCCTCAGATCAGACACCAGCTGTCACCCCGTCTTAGTCCTCCAAGTATCATCTGCTTCTGCTTCACCCATTTTCTCTTGACCCCCCTCTGCCATCCTTGGATTCTCGCCTTCACCCCGCTATTGTCTGAAAAGTCAGCGCCTGTTTCTTACTCGTGTCTTAAAAGCTTTCTATGCAGGTCATCGTTTTTAATTCACCCAGTTATTCACTTTTAGTGAGTCATTCACAGAAATAAAAATGCTCCCATCTAGCATCTGCTGAGAGCCCCAATCTGATGCCATTTTCCTTAATGGTACACGCTCCAAATTCGTTAAAGTTATTAGCATCTGTATTCTTGACAACTGAATAGCTTTGCAGTGCATTAAGAGGAAAAATAGCCCTTTCGGAGATGTAGTGTTGAGAAGGTGGTACGTTCTGTGGCTCCACAAGACGTTCAAACCTGTGTTCTCTACAAGCATGTCAGAAAATGTGTTGTGGATCAGCTGTAGTACCTGCTTGTTCCTCCAGGTGGAGCCTCTTGCTCCAGCGACCAGAGGCCTTGTCAGGGTTTAGCAAGCAACGGGCACCACGACAAAGACTTCAGTGATGCTTAATGACCTCCAGCCAAAACTCATGTGTTTCCCGGAACAATTTTTGATTGTCGCGTCACTTTCCAGATTTCAAAATTTAATTTACTTTCCACAGTTTTTTTTGTTTGTTTGTTTTTTTTTTGCGCACATTGAAATTTGGCTTTGTTTAACTGACAATACATCAGAAACTATTGAAGATAAAAGCCTAAAATTTCCACTGTTATTTTTCATGATCTAATTGATTCAGAATCTGCAATATTATATTTAAAGAACCACTTTAAAACGCTGATCGACTTGAATTAGACCATCTAGCGTTATTTTTGTGGTACAGTTTGTCACACCTGCTCTGTCAGCTATAGGTGTTCAATGAATATACCTTTTTTAATTTGGTTTTATTTAGTGTTTCAAATTCCAACTATGATGTTTGTTTCGTTTTGTATTCTAGTGACATGCAGCTACATGTGGTTCAAAAAACATCACTAGTCGACTTCTGCATTATCATTTTTTTTGTTAATATGTGCTTAAAGATGGGACTTTTTTCCATTTTTTAAAATTTTTTCAAATCAACCACAATCAGAGTAATAATAATAGTAATCTACTTGTCCAGTATTGGAATATTCCATATTGTGTTTTACTCTGAATCGATGACATGATGAGAAATAACAGTGAAAAGTTCAGACTTTTATCTATAATAGTTCCTGAGATGTTGTCGTTCAAACAGCTAAAAGTGAGTCGACGTGCGATTTTTAAAAAAAACGATTATCTTGGATAGTATTTGATATATGAATCTAAAACTTCCTAGATACTATTTTAAATGTTCATAGTTCATGATCAGGTTTTTAAGTTAATCAGAGATGCTTGAGCAGAAGACCTCTGATGGGTTAAGATGAACAAGTTTTCACCAGCTCTGTTACACTTCCTCACATCCAGAGAGCTGAGCAGCTCCTGAGCGTCCCTCCTCCCTCGTCCGTGTTCATATGATTTTATTAGGCTGGGGGCCGTCATTAACAGCCTACTTTGTTAAATCACTATCTTTTGTTTGTGTTTTGTTGACCGCCCCCTCTCCCATCTCGGGGACAGCTTGTGTCCTGAGCAGCGGGGGCCAGAAGGACACCCGTCCTCGCACGAGTCCACTCCCCAGACACTTAAACACCATCCAGCCTCCCCCCTCCTCCGTCATCCATCCGTCTTCCCTCTATTCCCGCGACCGTCTTCCCGCTCGTCCTCCCCCGGGACTCGTATCCTGCGCTTGACAAGTAATAGTGCAGCATCCTCACAGGAAATCTCCCCCAGGAGCACGCACACACACACACAATTCCCAAGGCGCTGTGTGGCAGCAGGTGGCAAACACTGTGACGCAGGCCGCACACGCTTCCCTTCCCGTCCACCCCCCTCCTGAACCGCACATTGTTTCGGCCTCTCCGGCGTGGGTCAAGTTGTGGCGTGTGGCGGTGGGGGGAGCCGGGGTGAGTCGGGGTCCTCGGGGGGATAAGTCGGGTGAATCGGGAGGAGAGGGAGGAGCCGAGGGTTTGGCTGTTTGCTTCCCCGAGGAAAGCACGCTCCATCCACCGGCCCCTCCTCTCCCCTCCGCCTGAAGTGGAGCTCTTTAGCAGGCCTGCCCGCCCCTCCCTTTCAGAGGCAGCCATGCATGAAAGAGCAGCTATTTGTAAAGCAGCCCAACAATTAATTTAGCTGGCAACAAAGAGGCCCCAGGGCCCTCGGCCTCTGTGCACCGCCTGAATTAAGACTGGTGGCAGCTCGGTCCTGTTGCTGCTTGTCAACAGCTGAGACTGATTCACATTTCTGCAGACAGAGTGATGCTGCTGCTGCTGCAGGCCGGACTGTGTGCTGCACTCCTCTCAAGGCTTATTATCAGCGTAGGATGTGTTGGTATTTATTAGGAAGGGATCGTTGTCTTGAAAGAAAAGCAGGATGTTTTAGAATATTTTAGAATATTGTTGAAGGGCTGCACAGGGGATCAGTGGTTAGCATCGTTGCCTCGCAGCTAGAAGGTCGCCGGTTCATGTCCCGGTGAGGACACCCGGGATCTTTCTGCGTGGAGTCTCCATGTTCTCCCCGTGCAGCGTGGGTTCTCTCCGGGTTCTCCAGCTTCCTCCCACAGTCCAGAAACATGTTGAGGTTAATTGGTGATTGTAAATTGTCCGTAGGTGTGAATGTGAGTGTGCTTGGTTGTCTGTCTCTAAGTGTAGCCCTGTGATAGACTGGTTACCTGTCCAGGTGAACCTGCCTTCACCCTGAGTCAGCTGGGATAGGCTCCAGCCCCCCATGACCCTAGTGAGGATTAAACGGTGGATAGATAATGGATGAAAATTGTTGAAAGCGAGAAGCAAGACTGAAAAAATAGAAATGTGAAAATATATGTTTGGAAGCTTTTTCGACTTCAATCTGAGTTATTTCCTATTTACTGTCGGTCATTACCGAATCCCCATAAGACACCATTTTCCTCGATGATACACTCTTTCAAAGTATATCGACGGCTACACGTCTCTGCTTTTCTGCATCCAAGCTGTTCCTCAGTGTTACATAGGTAGTCGTATGCCTTGACACTGAAATCTAGTATTAGAGGATGTACTGCAGCTCCACGAGCTCCAAAAGATAAAGACAACTTGTTCATTTATTGTAGATCAGCTGTAGTGCCTGGTTGTTCCACCGTGTTGAGCCTTTTATTGTTTGAGGAGGCGATCACTCGACTACAGAGTTTAGCGAGCAGAGAGCGTTGTGAGGGTTAAGCTAGCAACGGGCACCACGACAGAGACTTCAGTGATGCTTAAAGACCTCCAGCCAAAGCTCACTGTGTGGTAGTAGATGCAGACCTGAGATCAGTGTTGGATCTGTGCATGTGTCAGTTACCCAACCAAAGCCATTATTGGACCCGATCTTCATCTGCGACATCTTTAATACGTCCATAAATACAAACCTTTTCCTTTATTTATTGGCATAAAGAACTGACTGATCAGTCTTCTATTCCAGACTTGGTTCGCCCCCCTTCTTCAGATCAGTAGTTGCTGCTCTGCTCATGATGACTGAACCTCTTTATGTTTTCCACTCCTGCTGAACATGTGCACTACTGGCTTTGTAGCGTAGCGGCTGCACCAACACCAGTTGTAGGTGGTACACTGATGCTGGAGTAGATGGTCCACCAGGTGAAAGTTAGTGGTTTAATCCTCAGCCCCTCCAAGTACCCAGAGTTGCTTCCTAGAGCAGGCGAGGACCTT